TAGAGCATCCTTCTTGCACACACTGCTTGACAGGGCTTGTCTGCTCCATCCTGTGGGTGTTCCTCCATCCCTTGCTGTGTCCTTAAGAGGCTGCTCAAGCCCTCCTGCCCCATGGTTAGTGCTGCGGATGGCTGTTCTTGGTCCAACCTGTGCTGAACAGAGATCAGCCCTCCCAGGTATCAGTCCCTGCCGAGCAGGTCTGCAGCAGGGGCAGGGAGAAGCCACATCTCCTGTGAAGAGGCAAATGCGTTGCTTTCTCCACAGGGCTCTCAGCCCCCCTGGGAGAGCGTCGCTCTAATGAATAACTCTTGTCTATATTTACCCACCCTCAGGGAGCAGCACTGGGGCTCCAGTGTCCTCGACCCAAATGCAGGTTAAACAAAGTTCAGCGGTATGGGTTGTTTACCCTCTCACTAGCTCTGCTAATAAGCAGCTTCAGGCTTCTCCTACCCTCAGCAGCATTTTCTACTGTGAGAAAGCCTCCCAATTCCTTTTCCCGAGAAGGAAAATAATTTGGCAAGTGGTTTAATGGAGAGGGAGACCGCATGATAATCTCTTTAACCACTGCGGTAGTAACAGATGATGAATTAGTTGTGTTGGGTATCAGGATGTTGAGAAGAGGCACAGCCCATCTCTTGGAGGATAGCACTAGAGGAGGTTGCCAGCTACCAGAGAATCCTGTAGCTTGCGGTGTCCACCTGGATGCCTTGTAATACTGCTCAGTACCATCAATTGCTTGGAAATGGCTGGGACTTTCCCAAGGGATTGCGCTGCAACTGTTGGATTATTGGCAGCTACCTGCTAATCTCATTTGCAGGATGAGATTGGGAGTTTTTACTGCAGCAGTGTTGGTTCACTGGCCTTTCCTCTCCTGCAGGCTGCAGAGGGCAATGTGCTAATCAGCTCCTCTTCGGATCATTCCCTGACTGTCTGGAAGGAACTGGAGCAGAAACCTTTGCACCACTACAAATCTGCATCTGAACCCATCCACGCGTTTGACCTCTATGGCAATGACGTGGTCACTGGCACTGTGGCCAACAAGATTGGTGTCTACTCCATGCTGGAGTCCTCAGCCCTGCCCGTCAGCACGACCAAACTGAGCTCGGAGAATTTTCGGGGTACACTGACCAGCCTGGCGGTGCTGCCCACGAAATGCCATCTCCTGCTAGGCTCGGACAACGGTGTCATACGCCTCCTGGCGTAGAGACCCCCGGCCCAGGAGCTTGTGGCTGTCCCACAGCGCTGGTGGTAGAGCTGAAAGCTGGCAGCGTCGCTTACAGAGGAGGCAGAGTTAGATGTTTCTGAACAGAGGATGCAGGGGGGGGTGTACTTGTTAGTGAGCACTCAGTAAAGCATCTCTAACCTCTTTCTGTATCTTTAAAAAGAAAAAAGCCATAACTGAGAAACCTCTGCTGCTGCTGAGAGAAATACCGGGCATTGTAGGTCACTGTCACCCCTACAGAGAGGCCTGGAGCTTTCCATACCATGTGTGCCTGATCCCCAGGGGTCTGTGAGCTGCCCTCCAGAGTAATATGGACCACAGGTATCCTCCCTCCTTCAGTTAAGGGGTAAGAGGTGCCTCTTGACAAGAACACAACAGTATAGCTACTGCTATCTGCACTTACCCTTCACTTCCACTCCTGAACCACTAAACAGTCTTACTAGGATAGCATAAGCTGGGCCTGGGAACTGCTGCTTTTGGAGCTGCATGGTGCCGGGCATCTCCTCCTCCTGTGGTCGGTGTTCGAAGCCCAGAGGATGTACTCTATTAACTTTAGGTTCTGCTGGCTGAGTTAGAGCCTGTATGGGAGGAGAGGAGGTTAACTAGAGCACTTTTGCTACCTTACTGACTCCAGGGCAAAGACTGGAATGGAAGTCAGCCAAGGCACAAACCCCCTCTGCTCCGCCAGTTCATTTAGGAATGGGCTGCTGCGGTGGGACAGTTTGGGATGGGAACGTGACCCTGTAGGGAGCCCAGAGCTAGATGCTTCCATGAGGATTTTGGCTTCTGGAGCAGTAGGGTAGGGATGGACTGTTGTTGGTCCCTGCCCCAGCAGCACTGCATCCTGTGATTATCTAAGGGGTGAGGAATGCCCTGTGCACTGTGTGCTGTGCACTGGCAGGGTTTCTCAATAGTTTCTCAAGTGTTTCTAATCCTCTCCTTTGTGCTGCTTGGACTCCTGGGGAAGACAGGACAGCAAAAAGGTGCTCGGTTTTGTCCCCTCCTGCCCTTGTAGGGCGAGAGCCAGGAGGCATGATCCAGCACGGTCTCTTTCTGTCCTTCCCTTTGGGACAGCACCGTCTGTTCCCACCCCAAAGCCAAGGAGAGGGCTCTTTGACCCAGCAGTAGGAGCAGTTGCCTCACTTCTATTGCAGCCCTTTTCCCATCCATCCTTCAGCCTAATTAGAGCCAGTATCAGGGGAGCGGGAAGCTCTTATCTTGGGCAGAGGAGGAGCCTGCTGTGGGTTGTCCTGGGAGGGGAAAGGGCTTTCATCCAGCTGCCAGTTCATCTGAGCCACCTGCAGTTGGGAAGACTGCCCTCTGCTTCCAGGGAGGGTGGGGAGGTGAGCAGTTGGCCCTTGCTATCCTTCCGAACCTAAGGGGAGCTCTCAGTCCCGTGTTGCCTATTAACCATTTGCAATAGATGTAAATATTTACTTCTAATAAACTATTTGAAAGAGACGCAGAGACGGGTGTGTGGGGAAGCTCTGTGCTGGAGGGGCCCAGGTGCGGTGCGATACAGGGCTGGGTGTGCTGGCTGCAGCTCTTGCTCTGGCAGCCAAAGCTAAACCTCTGCGTTCAGACACCTCTTGTGTTCCTGGGTGAGCTGGAGGAGGGATGCTGTGAAGATGCCCTGGATGTAAGTAGGATTCTGCTGCACAGGGATCTGCTTTCCAAGGGGAAGTAGCTCCCCATGTTGCAGCAGCATGTCCCAAAGTAGTTTCTGGTTGCAGAGCTCAGACCTGTCTCCTTTCCAGTCCTTCCCAGTGTCTGGGATGAGTTTGGGAACCAAGAGCTGCTGCAAGGAATGGATGGCAAGCGCTGTGATCCCGTTAGTGTTCCCCACTACTCCTTAGTGACTCCTCTCACCCTGAGGACATGGACAGAGCCAGGAAGGATCACCATCGCTTCTGCGTACGGCACAAAACCGCACAGGACAAGACTGCTGGAGTTCTGCCCATCCCCAAGACTCTTCCTCCGTGCCACAGCAGTGCGTGCGTGCCGTGGAGCCCGGCACCGGGGCCAACTCCCCCCGGCAGGGCTCTGGTGCGTGCTGTGCCCCGGGGGAGGTACCAGCTGCTCTTGGCTCAGCCCAGCCTGAGCATCGCCGCCTCCTGCTTGGGTCCATGGCCACGGGGCCTTGGGCACCCGCCATCTGTTAAAACCGGTGCCTCGTGCTTGCTGCAGCAGAAGCAGCTGGGCTACAGAGAGTAAATATCTGGGGTTTTCTGCAAAGAAAATTCCAAAAAACAGAGCGAGCCCTGTGGCAATAAATACCAAGCCCTACATTTTCACTAAAGGTTATGAATAAAAGACCGCGTTCCCAGCACAGGGAGTTTATGGAAAGCAGAGCCACTACTAGGGACAACTGACTTTGCATGTTACTTCTAGTGATGGGAGTTTTGGAGCTGGTAAACTCAGTGTTAACATTGTCTTGAGGGTACAGCCACCCAAAGTTCTCCCCATCTCCAAATACACCACAAATTCACTCTTATCCCCCAAACAAATGTTTAACCGGATGCTGCAAGTCAATATTTGCCTGCCAAATTCTCAAATAGGGGGTGGTGCCGAAGGTCGCTGCCGGCGGGTAGGAGGGGTGGGCTGGACAAGAGACTGCGTTTGCCCCACGCAGAGCTATCGGCTGGGCTAAGGCAGGTGCCAGCTCCAACATGGACATGAAAAACCTCAGGTAAGGAGCAAATAAATGAGAATTTGACAGTAAATGGGGGCTCCTCCAATAAGCAATAGTGTCTGTCTGGTAAAGGGGGGTGAATTTGGCAGAGGGTTAAAGGATGGGCACCGCCAGGGAGGAAAGGGGTATTCAGGGTTATATGTGGCTGCGGAATTCGGGGTGAGGGAGGAGGGGGAATGAAATGGCCTCAAGTTTTGCTTCTTCCACTTGGCAACCGGGGTCGCAGCCCAGCAGTTTTGGGTGAAAGCAAGGAGTGCTCCGAGAATGGAAAGCAGCCCCGGGAACTAAGTGTATGGCAGCTGTGCCAACAGCTGGGCTTTGGCACGGGGGCTTTATGTTAAGAAAAAGATATGTTATTTCTGTTTGAAAGGGAAAAGTGGCTGGGTGAAGCGGTGGGCAGGGAACGGGTGGGGCCCTGCTCCCACTGTCCCATACAGGAACCGGAGTGCGGGGGTGGGAGAGGCTGGGTTTGCCAGCAAAGGGGGAAGGCGAGTGCTGGGAAGGGGAGGACTCTCTATTCCAGGACATATTGCTGAGAAACTGCTCTAGTATTGCATTTTCTACCTGCAAAGTCCCTCCCAGACAGCACTTGAGTGCCTGCAGCCCCTCTGAGGCAGGTTAGTATCCCTTTTCCCAAGAGCCCGGGGCACAGCTGAGGATGCTGTGCCTGTACCTCGGTGGTTTGCATGGGAAAGTAGCAGAGGCTCATGTCTTTTTCCAGAGGCACAGTGTGTGCAGGACTGATTAGGGAAATACCATTTGCAATCCAGAGAAATGAGGGTGATGGGGTCAGAAATGCAGGATCCAAGCAGGAGAGCGTCATGTAGGAGCCTGGCTGTGGTTACAGCTCTGCTCCGGCGCGGGTCCCTGTTCCTCTCTGATTTTGCTGCCTTGGTGTTGGACCAGGAGTTCTGTGTTGTTTGTTTGCAGCATTGTTCATCTCCCTATTGCTTTCTGCAAGCTCCTGCGCCAACCTGTTTGGCCAGGTTGATAATTTTCTCCCTGTAGACCTGAATAAGCTCAGCTTGCTGCTGCCAGGCAGCTGGAAATAACTTCTCTCTCGGCTGGTCCTTCTGTTCCAGAAATATGGTGTTCCTCTGGGGTCTGTTGCTGCTCTGCCTATCTGCTCTGCACAGTCACCTAAGGGTAAGTTGCTTCACTCCAGCAATGGTGGGGGCCTCTGCGGTGTGAGCACAGCCCTCTCCCCAGCCAGCAAAGGGCAAGGGAAGCGAGGCGGCTCTCCTCCACCAGACCACGGGGCAAATACCACCTGATGCTTCTGCGTGAGAAGCCCTGGAAGGCAGATGGGTGGAGGACACTGCTTCTCTGCTATGGGGTTAGCCTGTGCTCCAGTGCAGCAAGGTTTCTAATCTTCTTTTTCCCAGCTAAAATAGCTGTGGATATTCTCACTATTCAAGTGGATTTCTGAGGCAAATGTTTGGAAACTTGGCTTCAACTGTATTTAGTGACCATGACCTTCAGGGGTTAACAGGAGGTTGTTTAATAACAGCCTTTTTTTTTGTCCCATTTTAAATCTGGATCCCCGTCAGATCTGAGATTGCAAAACCGCACTGCTCACACTCTAGAGGATACATTATTTTGTACCCTTCTGATCTGATACCTTTCTAAACAAATCCAGCATTTGCATTCTCTCCCAGCTCCTGCTCACTTCCACCTCCCCACGGTGGACCCCACTGCTTTTGAGTCTGTATGCTAAAGCCCTGCCCATGCTGCGGCCATGCAAGGACTGCTACAGCCAGGCTGGTGCCAGTCTCTGACCTGACCCCATGGGAATGTGTTAGGAGTGGGAGCAGAGAAGACCGACTCTGGGAATTCAGAGGAAATTATCTGGGACCTGACTTTGTTTCTTTGTTGGGTTTTTTTTTCCCCCTTACAGTTTTCTTCGGCACATGCCATTGAGCAAAAGCGTCTCTTCTTAGACAAAGATGGGGAGCTGAAGGTAAGCAATGACTGGTTCCACCCAAGGGGACTGAAGTTATGCTGTGATATTTGCAATGGTTTTCCAGTTTGTCCTGAGATATGATGAGTCCAGGCAGTGCAATCTAGCAGTGCCAATGCAATGAGAAAGTCCATCTTTGTGCAGGCTTCCCTCCCCGCCTCACTCGCTGCTGCCCACACTGTGCTCCTTCATGTTGGAAGCTCCAGCCTAAATAACTGGGCAGCGTGTGGAGTAAACATCAGTAGCTGGTATGAACAGGGACTGGCAGGTGGATTATTTAATTTCTGATTGATCAGGGAAGATGAGGAAAACAGCTAGCTATGAGGGTGACAGGGAGAAAGACCCGTAGCTGATGCTGCCCATCGAGCCTGGCTCTGACAGTGCAGCACTCCTGCAGTAGAGGAATGTCACCTGGATGCCAGTGGGAACAGAAGGATCTGAGGAAAAAGCATGTGTTTAAGACCATGCAAATGCAAGGACAGTAGCAGCAGTGCTATAGGCTAAAGCTTAGAAAACTGGAAAATGAGGAATTTGGAGAGAAAAGGGATGGAATAGAGCAGGCAAGTCAAGAGGAGACAGATGCCTGGAGGAGGATTTGAGCCAAAATGGATCAGGGCTGTGACAGCAGTAGAGGATGCTGACCGATGCACGAGGCAGATCGGCAGTCCTAAAATATGTGAGAGGAGGTGGTGAAATCAAGGTTGAGGATGATGGATCTATAAATGGTGAAGGCACAGGACATGCGCTGAGCAGGTGGTTCTCGCCCTCAAAGCATGCCTGTTGGGCTCATTTGCCTGGGGCAGGCCCTGAGAGCAAGTGGAGGAGGAACCACTGCAAGACCCTCACTCAGTCCATTTTCCCAGGTTACAAGACCTTCTGTTTTCCATACTCATTGCAGTGCTTTTAACCTCAAGATTAAAAGGCAAACTGAAACGAATACACCACCAGAATAGAGAAGCTGGAGAGTCTTCTCAACCCATTTAGGTGTGCAGTAAAATCCATGAGGGAAGGTAGCGCCGTGCTCCTGCTTTCCCAGTGCTATCCTTCTCGTTTCTCCCCAGGACATGAAAACCGCTGGAGTCGTACAGTCTGCTCTGCTGGAAGACATCCCAACCCTGTCAAATGCAGAGCTGGCAGACTTTATCTATGACAACTTCCAGGAGAATGATGGACCCATGTTACCTTTCGCTACCACCCCACCAGGCACGAGGAATGACTGGAACCCAGAAAATGAAGCCGTAGCTGGGGCTGTGGGCTGTCGTGAACAGCAACCATCTGGGGAAATTGCCTCTTCTGAAGAGGAAGGAGAGGCTGAAGATAAAAGCTGTGAGATGACTTGGAAGAAGAGCCAGACACTAGCAGATGGCTTGATGAGATTCAGCATCGATCTCCTGATAGAGGTCCAGCTGGAGTCCAACAGAACTAATGTGATCCTGTCACCCCTCAGCATCGCCCTCGCTTTGTCTCACCTGGCACTGGGTAACTTCTTAGTTACAAAAGCACCTTTTCCTGCCCTTCCCTGTAGCCCCTCCTCGAGGCACTAAGAACCAACGTGCAAAATGCAAAGATTAAATACGGCACCTTCCACTTAATCTTACTCCTGCAGCTTTAATTAGGTACAACTACAATTGAAGATGCCCTCTATGGTCCTGCTGAGGCTCCTATTCTCAGGTTTCTCCAGCCTCTTTTGTAAGGCACAGTATGTTTCTAACAGGAAGCAGCTAGAGTAACATCCGTGTTTTCCACCACATGGGCATGACCTAACAGGAATTTGACTTTGCTTTTTAGGAGCGGCAAATCAGACAGAGAAGCATTTGCTGGAGGTGATGCATCTGGAGTCAGTGCCCTGTCTCCACCACATGTTGGGCACCCTTCACAGAAGGCTCACAGAATCCACCCTCAGCCTTGCGTCACGTCTGTACCTGCAGAAAGGTGAGAGGTGGCACGGGGGGATCTGTACTGGTGTAGAATAAAACTCTCAGTGACAGAGAGTGATGGAAACATGCTGCCATACTGGGAGATGTCTCTGTTTCCCTAAGCACTCCTCCTGGGGAGTGTCATGCCACTGGCTGAGCCACTGAGCAAACCTTTTTCAATGTCTGATAACTTCATGTAGAATTCTTCCCCTCTGCCAGGATTTGAGGTGAAAGAGAAGTTTCTGGAGGATTCAGAGAAATTCTATGGAGCAAAGCCCATGACCCTTTCTGGGATCAGTGAGGATGACCTCGTAGCCATAAACAAGTGGGTAAAGGAAACAACTAATGGGCAAATACCCACCTTCCTACAGCAGCTCCCTGAAAACACAGTGATGCTCTTGCTCAATGCAATCCATTTCCATGGTGAGCTCCACAGGCCTTACTTTTCAAGAGGAATAGTTAGAAATCTACTAGTTTTCTGCAAGCACTGCAGCTGAATGGCATCTCCTTTCATTGCTTCCTGCTAGTCAATCTGCTTGTTCTTTTCTTGTACATCTGCCGTTTCTCTTGCTTAGATTTCTTTACAGTAATGATTCCCAACTGCTTCACATGTGCTAAAAATGTTACTTGACTGCAGAGCCAGAATGCAGCAGGTGGAACCTGCAGTATTTTTGCCTCCCGGTTCGGGATCTCAGACAGCAGCACATCACTGCTCATCTTAACCAGGTCACATGCAACTCACTACACACCAACCACAGAGCTCAGAGGCAGCTTCTGTGGATTTCTTTCTGACTACAGCACAGTGGTCAGGCACATCTTCCTCTTTTAATTCCCTGAGGGTTGTGCATCAAAACACAGACCAAACACTTACTTCCAGTGTAAATCTGCAAATGTTTTAGCTTGGTCTCGGAGCACTGTTTCACTCTTCACAAAGGCAATACTCTTCATTTTTCAAAGCTCAAACATCCATTACTTTATCTTCATAGCCTTCAGTAATCTCCCACGCTGAGGCATGAGGATTAATCCTCGTTCTTTTTGTTATTCCATAGTCCCTCTCTGGAAGATAAGAGCTTCCAGCTGTTGGGGCTCTTCCAGCCTTGCTACCGACTTCTCTTCGCTGTATTTCTACTTGCCTGGTCACTATCTGCCTTGTTGAGAACTCATGATAGGAGGAGTGTCAGCTAGGCAGTTTCTGTTTTCCTACCCAAATTTAACTTTGTTGATTTCTAAACTTTTATTTTCATAGGGTTTTGGAGGAATAAGTTTGATGCTAGCTTCACTGGGCCAGATGTATTCCACCTTGACAATGAGTTCGTGGTCCCAGTTGAGATGATGAAAGCCCAGAAGTACTCCCTGAGCTGGTTTACACTGGAGTCCCAGGACATTCAGGTAGGGCTCTATTATGAGCACTACAAGTTCTGACTGGAATTTCCTCTTGCTATGGTATTTTACTGGCTGCAATTATTCTCTCCAAAAAACAAATGTCTTAACAGGCATAGCACATAAAAATTTAATAAGCAGCCTTTGTCCTTGCTTCTAGCAAGAATGTTGAGTCTTTACTCTCAATCTCTAGGAAAACCCACAAAGAGATATTCCCACTAAGTGGGAATTAATAGAGTTTTAAAGCCTTGAGTTAAAGATAAATGAGGAAATATGGAAAGGAATTCCCTCAGACAATGTACTGTTGGAGCCCTTCAGAATGCAGCGACTGCCAGAGTGGGTACAACGTTTGTGCATGTGGGCTTCTACTCCACCATATGTTCAATCTTTACCAGTCAGTGGCTAAATACTAAAATCTAATGCTGTTATTCCAACAAACTTTCTCCTCTGAAGAAATCAGATACCTCCTTCCCACCAGGCTGTTTTTGTCCGATAGCTAGACTGGCTCTGTAGACCAATTAGAAAAAGACTAAATTAAAAGCATAACTTTCTGGACTTCCCTTCCTCTTCCATAAATTCTTCTGGTTGGTTTTATTTCCAGGTGGCCAAGTTTCCCTTTAAGAGTAACATGAGTTTTGTGGTCATTGTACCAAACCAGTACACTTGGAATACCTCTCATGTGCTGGAGAACTTCCCTTATGAACAACTATGCAGGCTTTTCCCAAAAGAGGTACCCACCACAGTGAAGATTCCCAAAATAAAATTGGACTACCAGCTGGAACTCAACAAGGTTCTCAGTCAAATGGGTAAGGCCTCTAACAGGATTTGCACAGAATAAGTGAAGCTGATCAATCTATATGGCATCTGTTCGCTGACACTAAAAACTGCCATCCTTGTTTCTAAAGCTGTGTCTCACAGCTTGCTCCAGATAACATCCAAACTCTTTCATCTCTTATTCCTTTCCTCCTCCTTATTCTTTGCTTGCCTAGCACCAAATGTTTTCCTCCAACAAGATGATACTATAGAGAAGGCAGCATTCACAGTTCCTCACAATCTTTACGAGTTCTTCCTATTCCCCTATTTGTAGCCAAAACCAACTTCCTCCTGTGCATCAACCTTTATCTCTTACTTTGTCATTTAACATAGTATCCAGGACGAAGAAATTGCCCACAGAGACAATGCAGATCACAAAGCCTGGAACTGAGCGCTTACTGCAATAAACCACCATGCGCTGCATTTCCAGATGAGAATAAATTAAGAGTTCACTTTGTTTTGCAGAATTGCTTAAAAAAATAATCCCTGTAACAGTGTTTCCAGCCTAGCAAGAAAGAGCCTTCAGACTTGCTGCTGCTTTTTAAGGAAGGCTTTAAGTTCTTACACTACTATTCTAAAAGAGGTGGATAAAGCTTGTGAAAACTGTTCTGGTTTTGGCACCCTCAGCTCTTCATACAGAGATGGACTGGGGAACCTGGCTGGACTGCAGCTTTTGTTTCTGGTGCCTGCCAGTTCTTCAGTCCTCCGTGTTGGACAACAAATGTAGCAACAGATTAGGGAATTGCTTTCTTTGGACAGCTTTGAGAAAATTCAGAGCTGGTGGCACCAACTGGGAAAGGTTAACTTAGTGTCATTTCTCTGTAGGCCTCCAGGAGCTGTTCACAAGCCCAAATCTCCAGAAGATCACAGATGAGCCTCTCTTCGTATCCAGTATACAGCATCAGTCTACCCTGGAGCTTAAAGAAGACGGGGTGGAAGCATCTGCTGCTACCAGCGTCGCGATTTCACGCTCGGTCTCTGCCTTCAGCCTTGACCGGCCCTTTCTCTTCATTATCTTTGAAGATGAAACAGGCATCCCACTTTTTATAGGCAGTGTCCAGAACCCTAATCCCAATGCTGCTCCCCAGATAAAAGAGCCACAGGACTCACATGAAGCAACAGATGTCAACAAGTACCCCATGCCCAAATAAGACAGAAGCAGAGCCTAAGCATTCTGGGACTGCTACCTGACCCTTTGGACCAGCTAAGAGAGGCCTCCTCTCCTTGGAGACCTCCCTCTGAGGCCACAAGAGGCAATCCCTTACTGTTTTCCTTTACAGATCCTTAGAGACCAGTCCTGGGATAGCCCATTCCAGCCTTGATGAGCTTCTCCAGGCTGGGGTTCCCCTCTGTTGAACCTGAAAAGCTTGTTCTGCCTGGATTTCCCTTCCAGAGTCTCAGTCCTGGAAGGGAGACTTCCTTGTCCCCAGACTCTTATTAGAGTCTTTATTAAGCTCTGATTAAGAGTCCCCTGTAGCCTGGAATCATCATTAGCATCTGGCAGCTGGGACAACAGCCAGAGATATTAATATGGCTCTTCCTTCCGCAGTTCCTGTGTGAAGTTCTCCCTCAAAGTGTTCCTCTGAAAACTGTCTGTACCCACCTAGGAAATGACCTCTAGCTCAACTGGGCTAGTAACCAGTTGTCTTCTCTAGGATGCGTCACAGCCATTTTCAGGCACAGGCTCTTTTCAAAGATTCCCTTTTCCCACTCCTTGGCTATTGGGATCTGATGTGGGAGAGTCTGCAGTGGGAAACCCCTTTGGATCCTTATCTCCAGCCCTTTTCCTGGGAAACTCTAGGTTCTTGGGTAATGCTAGATTTTTCGAAACATATTTTATAAAGCGTTTTTTAGTAATTTTTATGTTGGCAGAATAATAAAGAGTAAAGCAGAATATAGTTGCTTACGGTGTTGCATTGAAAGACCCAACTGAGAAAGGAAAAAGGCATGCAACTTGAATAATTGCAAAGATTGGGAGGAAAAAAATCTGGGCGTGACAGGTAGAAAGACAGGAGGGGCTCTTTGCTACACCTCATCACAGAGGACAACAGGGGCTGTGAGGTGAAATGGCTGATCTGTAAAGACTGTCCAAGGACCGAGTCCCATAAGCTTTGGGCATCTCACCTGCAGAGTCTGCAGGGAACACTCACTGGCTCAGAGCTGGCTTTGTGAAACGGGCAGAATTCCCTGAATTAGGGCATGAGCTCAGTGGCATAGGGACAGGAGGATATTTTGACTGTGAGCAGCAATGCAGTGATAAGGAGGGATGTGACAGTCCTTAACCTTTCTCTTGGGCAAAACCTGACCATTGCTGGTATCTACTAGGAGGTTCAAAGGTGCTGATCTGGCATCTGCTATCTGCGATTTGTTCTTCTACTGGGATACTCCTGGCTCCACAGCACAATGCTATGGATGGTTGGGACAGTTTCCAGGGGAAGGAGGGGCGGATTTTGTTGCCTGTAGCTGAATGTCACTGCTTTTGCTCTTTTTTGGCAAAAGGCAATGTCCCATTACAGCTTCACTTTTGTCTGAGATGGGCACAGCTCCCTGGGTCCTTGTTCTGAGGTAGCAGTGCACATCTGAAATAACCTACCATGAAAGAATCTTGGGAACCCTCCACCCAACCAAGCCATCCTACCACTTAAAAATATTAGTCTTAACTCACCATAGCCTGTGATGCTGCAGCTATTTCTGTACAAAACAACTGCTGTCCATAGTAGATTCTGCTTCCAAACTCCCTCAGCTTCTGGGTAAAAAGGATGGTGCTCTGTTTTTGCAAAATAGCAGTTACAGAGCACAAGGGCCATCCTTCTGGCAGTGTTTTCCTCACTCGGGAAGTCTGCCTTCCCTCAAAGGAAGGAGCAGAATGCTTCTGGGAGCCTCGGTCCCTGAATAGTCTGCACCATCTGCTGGAATAAGAGAAGGACTGACTCACTAACCATGAATTTCAGGGATGCAGGAGACTTTGGGGAATAAAAAGTCCTGGCTCAAACCTGCAATTACACATTTCTTGCAGTCTAAAAGGGGAAGAATGGCTAAAGATAATGTCTACCCCTCTAACCAATGCAATGACACATACCCTTCAAAAAGAGGGTGTAATTACGGGGCCCATGTAATTTTAACAAGTAAACCCACAAGAATTCAGCCCTACTATGAAGGCATAGCTCTAGCCCACAGGGAACATTTTAGCTTATTTATTTATACAGATTCATTCCTAACATTCAGAAATACCATCCCATGCCTTAGGTAAGTCTTGCTTTGGCTACTGCAACCTCAGTGCTAACCTCCCTGAATTCTATCCTGTTGCACTGCAACCTGCGCAAAATTTGAAGTGAAACTCTTCCTTTTCATGCCTCTGCCCTCCAGCTCTCCCTCTTCTATAAAGTTTTTTTCTCATTTTCCTGAACAGCTTGGTTCTTATTTCCTATTTCCTATTTTTCGTCTTTCTGCCATCCCTCCTCCTCCAAGCTATTCCTGTCAAACAATTAACTTCATCTGATTTGACAGTACAGCAGCCCTCCAAGACTGTGCTTTACTGAACAAATTATCAGTTACACCGACCTTAAGACTCTTTTTCACTCCACCAACCCTCCAGAAGAGGCAGTTTGTAAAATGCAAAGTAATATTAATGTCTCTGCTCAGGAATTTCCACTTTGCATTGCTAAACTTTCATTTTGACTGAGCTCTATTCTGAAAAGACATGACTAGCACAGGGTGTCTGCTCTATAGCTCATCTGCACCACTGGCTGAGAATATCAAGTAAGTCTCAATATCTTTAACATTAGATGTATTTTTTCCTTACTAGAGCAAATTCATACGAACATGATCAGTATTTCCATATTGCCTACTATCTTGAACCCAAACTAGAAGAACAGTAAGATGTCTGTATTGATTTAACAAAATCGATTTAAGCCTTTGCATCTAGTTACATAAGTATAATGCACCATTTCAGAGATACCCTTCACCTACAGGAATAAAGCTTGCTTTGGTCTATAATAACATTCTATACAACTGCCACTCTGATTTAAATGGTTTAAAACCAAACCTGTATTTAAACAGCTGGGCTTTCATTTGAAGATACAGGTAAGATGTAAAAACTTCTCTAGTGGTCCTTCCATAAAGGGCATTTTAATACCACAAATAAGGTATCAAACAGAGATGAAAAACACCAGAAGATATCTCCACAGCCAACACCCCCATTCTTGGGCCAACAATGGAAGACTATCAAGTACAAACATCTCTGTGCAGACAATTTCTCACAGAGCAAGCTGAGAAGCAGTTGAAAGCACAGCTGTTACTCTTGTTAGAAAGGGTCACCTTTGACGCACTGACTAATCACAGGGCAGACTACCTGATTTGCTTTTCCAGCTTGCAAAAACAGCAGCTAATGCTTCTCTAAAACCATCCTTTTCTCTTTGCTGAGGGACTGCACGAGCTCAGTGCCAGCATGCATGAGTAATTCCTCATTATCTGTTAGCAGCGAGGCTGGCAGCCTGAAAAGATGTCCCAATGCAAGCCTAGACTGGGGGCACTGACATTACTGGCTACAATTTACTTTCAGCATTTCCAAGTAGACAAACAGCTGCCCTGGATCAGGCTAGCTAAGTGTCCAGTTAGCCCAGTATCCTGGCTCTCCCAGTAACAAACGACTGGGGAAAAAAAAGCCAAGAATGACTAGGGACAAGGAAAAACAACTGTTCGCTGGTTGTATCACCCAGCTGCTGAGTCTGACATTACATCTGACTTTTGTTAGCCTTCAATGGACCTGTCTTTCACTAATTTGGTTTGGGTTGGTTTTTTTCCCTCCAAGTCTATTTATCTTTCATCATCTGCAATAGCTAGTTACAATGAGTTTTACAATTTAATACTTATGAAAAATACACTATCTTGATTTAAATGTGCACTGATGGGTGCTCCCCTAGAGTCTTCTGTTGCAAAAAATAATGAAACCCCTCTGCCCCTTTCCCTTCTCCAGATCATTTATCGTTCTGTAAGCTCCTACAACATTCTGTTAATTCATCTTTTTTACCAAGAGTCCTCGGCTTTTTAGTCTCTTTCTTTTCGGCCAAAACCTTTAAGCCAGTTATGTTAATAAATTCTTGTTAACTAGTAACTATCACTGGATAGAACCACTTCTGAACATCTTCCCTTTAACTGCTTTAAACAGCAACAGAATCCTGCTTCCACTTTACAAATCTCTCCATTAAATCTTGGACATAAATCCATTACACACTGCTGCATTAACCATACCTCTGAGACAGAAGAAATTCCCTCATGTGACATATGGCAAAACTGCGGGGATAAAAGACTTGCTCAAACAGGGCAGGGAGGATTTGCCTCTCCGACCTGTGCTTTACCCGCTAGACTGCCCTTATCACAGGGAGCACATTTGTTTTGGAAGGCAGGGTTAAATAGTCAGTGCAATTCCGCGGGAGAGTGGCAGCAGCAGAAAATGGGAGCAGAGCACTTTAAGAGAGCCCCGGGAAGCTGTAACCTGAAGCCTGCCGAAGGCTGGGCTGGGGGAAGCAGCAAAAAGCAGATGTGGCTGCAGCAAACCCACACTGTCCCCGACTCGCACCCGCCGGGAGCCTGAGACGGCAGCGGCCGAGAGGAGCCCGAGGTAAGGGGGCAGGTCACCCTTGCTCGGGGAGCAGAGGGCAGGGGCTGAGGCTGGGGAGCTCTCAGAGGACCTGGGAAACGGGAAGAACGGCTCTTCTGCAGGTGTTAAAGGGTGGGATTCCCACCAAATGAGAGATCTCACCAAGGGTTGGGAGCCAGCAGCATCCTAGGGCACCTCTTTGCTTCCAGGGCTGAACTGTGCTTGGGAAGTGGGGTGGTTTTCTGCCCTTCTAGCATCTGAGTTGCAGCTGGGAACATGCTTTTTCTTTGCGACGGTAACAATTTTGGTGATAGTCAAATCCTCTAGAGCTAGTGGTTGCGATACACTTCAGAAGGAGTTAGTGCTGTGGGGTGGAGCGATCACAGAGAGCAGTCTGAACTCGTGGGTGATGTTTCATAGCACCCTAAAATCGGAAGTGTTTATAAATGATGTGAGACTTGTACCACTATAAATGGAAAGCAAAATATTCCCTTTGCACCTGCAGGCCTTCACAAATAGACAACTCCCAGACACAAAGTTCCTTCTCAGCTCATTTCTCAAAGTTTTCTTCCTGTACCTTCCCGACTGTAACATCACATGCTGCATGCTGTTGCTCCTTCTCTTCTCTTTAAAGGCAGCCACAGATTTTAATATCATGCCTGAAACCATCCCACCTCTGCTCCAACCAAATTCTTTTCTCTGCATTTTTGGCTGTGTGCTAAGAGACATGCAAATAGAATCCAGATGTTCAGGCCAATTCAAACGCAAAAGGCTTTGTCTTTCTAAAATGGAAATTGCTTTTTGGCAAAGTTTGAGAAATACGAAGCTGGTGACAGTACTGGCAAAAACAATACAAATCTGCAAAACCAATCTCCGCTCTTATGCTCCCAGGAGCTCAGTGTAGTTGGAAGCAGAGGTTGTGTTGAGATTTTTTT